CTTGACCCTCTTTGTTTCACAGTACTGGTTTATCATAAGCTCCACGAGAACAGGACAAGCCTCTTACACAGTACAGACTCAAAATATTTGGTATCTAGGAAATATACTCAGCCTTAAAAGAAACCTTATGTTTCCCAACAACCAACCTTACAATGCTTTATTAGGTACAAGGTACTAGGAGAAAGAAAGAAAAAAAGATAATGCCTTTGTCCTTAACAAGCTTGTGTTCTAACTAAAGTAACATTAATATGAAGGTCTACAGAACAAAGACACAGGGAAAACAAAAAAGACTATCTATCTAAAAAGAAAAAGAATTTTAGGGCCGGGGAGATGGCTCAGTGGAATAAGAACTTCCCTGGCAAGCGCACGGACCTGAGTTCAATCCCCGGTTCCACCAAAAAAAAAAAAAAAGAAAAAGAATTTTATATTTTAGGTTTTTAAAACTCTGCCAATGTGAGAAACAATAGCTTTTAGATATCATCACCAATCCTGGGACCCCACAGGGATGCATGCATTAAGCCATCTATTCTTCTGAAGTTATCTACCTTTTCTTCCTTCAGAACTAGGGATTAAACCGAGGGGCTTTCTAAAGCTCTCAGGTATATCCCTATCCTTCTTCATTTTTTATTTTGAGATAGGGCCTTATTAAAAAAAAAAAAAAAAAAAAAAAGACAAGAGAGAGAGGGCCTTACTAAGTCACCCAGGGGGCTTTCAACTTTTGATACTACTCTGATACTACTCCCAAGAAGCTGGGATTACAAGAGTGTGCTATCATACCTGGCTAAAGGTTCTGTACTTCTAAACACAGAAGTACACGTAATACCATGTAATTATACACATTATCTATAACATACTTTATCAAGCACAAATAGCTAACTTTAAGGAAGTAATATACAGGCCTATTCAATGAATAGTAATGAGGTATTTTTTAAAAAATATTTATTTATTTATTTATTTAGTGTGTGTGTGGCCAGCTCAGCCCACCAGGGGGTGGGGCTGGCTGACATGTGGTGCTGGGGGATTGAACCGTGGTCCCTGTGTTTTGCTTAGCTTAGCTTGTTCTAAATAGGTGCTTTAGACCACTGAGCCATCTCACCAGCCCCAATGAGGTATTTTTAAATGAAGACTGGTACCTAAAATAGGACTCTGCTCCATTATTTTAAAACTTTATTCCAGGCACAGTGGTACAAGCCTATTATTCCAGCACTTGGGAAACTGAGGCAGGAGGATTGCCGTTGAGTTAAAGGCCAGCCTGGACTACGCAGTAAGTTCAAAACCAGCCTCAACTATAACTATACAGCAATACCCTGTCTCAAACCCCTTACCCACAAAAACAAATTTTTTTAAAAAACAAAATTTTTATAACATTGAGTTTATGCCATTTTATAGATTAGGGAGAAGTACAAAGGTACTCTATAAATTAGTTACACAACAGGAACTACAAGTTACATTGCCAATCTAAAACAAACCGCACAAACAACTTTAATATTAAATAATATTAAATACCTATTTCAAATGGAAAAGTGTAAACTAGGCATTTAGTTCAAGTAGAGCACTGAGCTAGCTCTAGGTTATATCCCCAGGAGGGAAGAGAAGGTGTCTATCACTGCAGGTAGGCACCATCAATTTGACTAAGGAACTAGGCTCACTGGTTCCTCACTAAAACCCTTATATTTACCTTTCAGAGCAGTTTACCTAAGGAATAATAATGATAATGGCTCACAATTATGCAGTTCTTGCTACATCCCAGGCAGGATTCTAAGTGCTTTGCATATGTTAATTCATTTAATCCTCACAACTCCATGAGGCAGGCACAATTACTATTCCCATTCTACAAATAAATAAACTAGTTAAGTGAAAATTCAAAAGGAAAGAAGTGGTTAAAATAACTAACCTCCTTATAGAAAAAAAGAGAAAGGAGCTGGGGCCAGGCCTGGTGGTGCACACCTGTAATCCCAGCACAAGGGAGGCTGAGTTGGCGTTGCTATAAATTCAAGGCCAGCCTGAGCTTCATAG